CACTTGCCAGTTTCCATAGCAATACACATAAGAAAGGTGGCTTCCTTTCTGAAACGAGAGGGATCCATACATGCAAACTTCACTTCACCAGTTTGATACAGGGAGGATTGATCAACGGTGGGGAGAAGGGCCATCTAAGTTTGAATAAATTCTATGATTTGTCAAGGACGTGATTGGTTTTTGAATGTAATCCTATCAACTTTGCAGGCTAGTCGGTCGTGTGATAACTCATGAGAAGGAGAAAATAATTAGTAATAGAATAGAACAAAGTTGAGAAGATTCATGCACGTCCCCATTTGATTCAAGTGGGGCCAAAAAGAAAAACTCAGATCAAGTGGATTAACACGTGGCAAGATCTCGTGCTTCATCATTCACGAATTGGGTGAATCATTTGGCCTTTCTTGGGAATAGTAAACTAAGTTGGAAATTAATGTTTAGGTCAAATAATGGCATTGAGCTTTATACACGTAAAAAGTACACCTAATTATAATTAAAGGAAATATGAACAAGTTCGGGTTGGTTTAATACTCAGAAGACAATCCCACGGTTGCGACCCTCCAGATAAATCATGAGCAAAAGAGATATTTGTCTTTGATTAGGCTCATATTAAATGGTAATCATGGATATTAATCTATTTATATATTAATATAAAGATTTGGTTCAATTCTTTAAGGGTAAGTTGATATTTTAACATATACTTTAGTAGTCTTAATATGTACATAAATCTTCCAAGCCTTAATGAAATCAACAGAGCCGAAAGAGGTGTTCAAAGTTTACACAAACAGATTGAGAATAAGGTGGCCGTTGATCTCTCTGATTGGAGATCCAAAAGATGGAACAGTTTATTTATATATAAAGATAATTGAGAAAAAATGTTCACCACACGGGTCAAACCTAGAACTGTACAGGATGCCTGCATATAATTATTGTCCAATTTCAATCATTTAGCAGCCATCAAATTAAGCTTTCAAAAGTGGACTTGATGAATGAATGTTCTTGTAAAGAGATGAAGACAGTCCCTGTCGTTTATACACCTTGGCACACACACTACCACTAGGTTACAACACACTGTTTCTATAAACCCGAATCAATAGTAAATGACAAAACTATATTATAAAGACAAAAAAAATGATATTTTTATGTATAAAAAAAGCAATTTAATAAGGAGATGAGATGATGATGATGATGATAAATTGATTAAAAATTTTGTATACGAAATAATATGTTGAAATACTGCATACATGCACATATTCATAAAATTAGGAAAGAGAACAAAAAGAAAGGTGGAGTTGCTTTTTATTAAATTGTGAAAGTCATTTTCTAATTTATATATTCTTATTCGAATGAAGTTGTTCACGTATATACGAGTGGTGTGAAGAGTCTTATTCGAATAAATTGTTCACTATATACGTATATATTGGATTTTAAGTACGTTACCTCCATTGGTTGTGTCTTGTCATTAGTTATTCTAGGTCTTGATTCTGAACTTTAGGAAGAGTACTGCTATTACCTGAAGCTGTGCACCCAAATGAAACCCACCACTTTGACTGAAATTTCTGGCTTCACGATGTTGTGGTTAACATTCGCTTGTTGCTTCCTTCATCATCTGAATTCTCCTCCCAGTTCATCTTGAAGCTCTTTTATTTCCTTTAGCAAATCCTTTATAAAGTCGATTGTATATATATAAAATTCATAAAAGATAACAAACATAGTATTCATTCATCGTAATTTATTAAACATGTTTTCTTTTAATTGTTAGAAATATTTATTTGTTGGATTTTCTTGGTTATGAAAAGCCTTTAAATACCACATTTACGATTTGATATTATAAATGTCATATTTAACATCAACTGATGAGCAGTAGCAGATCCAATTAATGACTTGTGGAGACTTGAGTCCCCACTCAATTTTTGAAAAAAGTTAGGTCTTATATTTATTTAAATTTTACACTTATTATGAGATTTTGGGAACAGCCTCCACGGTTAGTTTTGATTTTATTTTTGTAAAACCCTATTTTTAATCCTAGTATATATATTTTATATTTTTTGTGATTTTTATTTTTATGCAAGAGGATTGGTTAGTTTTTAAAAGTTTTATTATGAGTGAAAATGAAAGGAATAAGAACTGTTGGGTTTGCATTTAACTGATGGGAGAAATCTGAGCATTTTTACATCACAAAGCTAATGTGGTGAGGTCATGGTGAGAATAAGAGAATCTTGGACAGTTTCATAATTCGAAGAAGTTGTTTTATATATAAACTGGGTTGTTTGTCAAAAATAAAGAAAAAGAGAGAAAAACCTATAAAGAAGAAAGGAAGAAGAAGCAAAGGAAAAGGAAGAAGAGAAGAGAGGGAAGAATGGGTTTGGTCAGTTTTATCTATTAGTTTTTTCTGTACTTGAGTTGATGGTACTTGAAAACCAGATTGAGATTTATATTATTAACATACGTTCTTGTGATAAATTTGCTGAGTTATAAGGAATTTGTGATTTGGTTAAGAATTTAGTTCGGTTTAAAAAAGAAATTTTGCATACGTTGGTGTACAAGCTTGTGAAAGTTGCATTGGTTTTATCAGTTGCGACTGCGACTGTTGAAAATGTTTTTTCTATAATAAATCTTGTGAAAAATCGGTTATGCAATCGAATGGGAGATCAATGGATGAATGATTGCTTGATCATCTATATTGAGAAAGATGTATTTGATATAATTGACAATGAGATGATTATCCAACGTTTTCAAAATAGGAAAACTAGTTCAGGACAATTGTAGGAAAATTGTTTTATTTTTACAACAATTGTGTTTTTCTTAAGGTATTTATTTGTATTTTATAATTTTTAATTGAAGCTCATTGTAATAAAAAAAAAAAAAGTGTATTTTTTTTTTTTTTTTTGTTTACATTTTGCCCCCATTGTGAGATCCGCCACTGCTGATGAAGCTATTTATTTCTTCATAAAACTCCTACTTGACCGTTGGAATAACATGGAGAGTTGACGGATATGTTATCTGCTTTAATTCCCCTGCCCGTGCTGAGTCATGTCCTCCTCAGCGGCGTAGGTTCAGGTGCTCAAGTTTATCTGAGGAGGCGCGAAGTAGACTTAAGAGCCTGTTAGAAGGCAATTGATCGAGTATACCAATTATTTCATACACTATTTACCGATTAAAGTTGAGAAATGATTGTTATCTGTCTAAAGGCTGTTTCAGATGGTTCATTAAAAAAAAAAAAAAAAAAAAAAAAAGCCAGCCCGCAGTTTTGCATATGTAGGAGAGAGAACGCTAGGCTTGTGGAATTTTTCTTATTTCAATGAATTTGGGTCTCTGCAATAACCCACCCATATTTGTTTCCTAACACGTGATTTGTATATAAACTAACACTATCGCAAATATGCTTTAATGAAAGTCTATATGAACTATAGTTACCTTCATAGCGTAGTTTATATTTATAATTTAATTTAGGGAAAAATAAAAAAAATAAGTTTTATAAAAAAAAAAAAAAGGAAAACCGGTTCGGTGAACACCTCTAGTTATTATCATCCCATGAAATATAATTCACTTGATACAGTTATTATTTATTCTTAAATAAATAATTAAAATTTTTAATTTACATTATTATTCTTTATTTATTAAACCACTTGAAACTTGTAAATAAAATGATAACGTGACCATATAAATCATTTACATGTAAATAAAATGATGATGTATATAGCAACGGCATAACAAACTTGAAACTTGCTACCATTATGGAGAAATTGATCATCGAAGAAGTTGCAATACTAAATCAGTGGATCATCTTAAAATATATTACAAATTTCACATGTATCATGAAATTTAGTAACATTGAATATGTAAATAAAGTGTCGATGTGTTAAATAATATATATTTTATGTAAATAAAGTGATGACGTGTTGAATGATATAACTACGCCACGTATGGTGATACTTGGAACGTGAAATTTGATATTATCTTGGTATAATTGAAAATAGAAAAACAGTTTTAACACTTTCACTGTAAACTGTGATATTCTATAATCTAAAGCCATATCTGTCAATATATTTTGATGCTTATCTTCACAAATAAGACTCCCTCTTGATCTATTACATAAAGGTCTCCCTATAGCAATAATTCTCCAAAAAGCACAAAAATGGCTTCTTTCAAACGCTACTTCTTTCTGGCTTCAATTCTACTGGGGATGCTATTCGTTGCACCTTCATTAGAAAGGCTAAATGTGAAGGTGACAAAGGGTGTTATTAATGATATTTGTTCCAAGACACAGAATCCTTCTTTCTGCTTGGGGGTTCTTAATCAAGCTCCTGGAGCAAGTACTGCAGATCTTCCAGGTCTAGCCAAAATCACTATTGACTTGGCAACTTCTAATGCTACAGAAACTCTTCAAATAATTCAATCATTAGTCCCAAAAACAACTAATACTAAACTTAAGGAGGGATACGCAACTTGCTCTGAGCATTATGATAATGCCATTGGTGACCTTGGTGATGCTCAACAACACTTGAACACTGGTGATCCAATGGGTGTCAATTTATCAGCTTCAGCTTCCATGGATGAAGCCGGCGATTGTGATGATGAATTAAAAGGGCTCCCAGCGGATCCTTCAGTCCTGAAGGGCAACCAGGATCTAAATAACATTTGTAGTATTATTTTGGTTATTGCTAACCTTATACCCTGATGAAACGTGTTTGTTTCTAACAAATTGCTTTAGTCACAGTGGCAGATGTATCCATCAAGTATGGATTTCAACACAGATTCTAATTTAATAAAGTTTTAAGAGCAGTTTGCAGTCAATAACTTCAAATATTTTTTTCTCTATTAACATTATATGCAGACTCCACCTAGTCATTCACTTAGCAGTAAAATTTTTGGAGTATTACCCATATGATCATTGATCCTAGAGAGAAGCACATTGTGTTCACCAGAATAAGTTAATATCTCAACAACACATTGGATCAGCATCAGCCTTAAATATGAATAACTTTGGAGAGCAAAAGTGTAAGCAAGCATATATTTATTGAACATATGGATAATAAGGGGCCCAGATGACCAATATCTTTCATCAACATAGTTCAATTTATAATCTAAAAACATTCCAAAAGCTATAATGTGAAAAGAAACAGACAGAATGTGAGGGTATCCAATTATTCTCTTATATTTAGATTTACAGCATAATGTATTTCACCATCATCAGCATTACATTTATATGATTCTCCAATCTTATTCAAGATGATGGACCTAATATCCAGAGATAACAAAAGCAATACAGTTGATGACTGAATTACCAGTACAATTCAGGAACGCAAAGTAGTAGGTTTGTAGTCTATCACAAGAACTTTATCCAAATGGGACAGGAACAAGTTTGCAAATTCAACATGCGCAGGATGAGCTACATACTCTGCAACACCCTCTGTGCTCTCAAAGGTAGATTCAAAGATATGAGTGAAACCTTGATGCAGATTCTCAATACTCACATCCGTGCCCCTGTTGCAACACATAACAAAATGGCAAAAGGGTCAATCTTTTTGAACTCAGGCACCAAAACCACACTAAATTATTGTTTTAAACATCGCCATTTTCCAGAAATTGTGTAGATCCAGAGAAGTATATTATAAGCGTAATTTGTTAAACAGCTATAAGGGCAGCAATACTACTATCCAATGAGCCACCAGGTCTCAAGCTTTGCATCAAAACCTGCTTATGTAAAGGTTAAGAGACAAATAACTCGAGGTTTGGTAAATTCTTCACAGAATGTAAAGTGCACTGCTTTTGAATCCCAGAAAGAGTATTCTAATCTTTCAATAAGGCGCCATCAAAAACACCAAAGCAGGATTATCCAAAACTCAAAAACCACATAACCCATAAAAACAATAAGCTAAACAAGATCGCATATTGAGTGTTTATCATATTACCATTGAAAAGACTTCATGGGTTCGATGAGTTTGACGAGATTAGCATAGCCTTTGATGAGCTGATCAATTTGATCTGATTTTACCTCGTCTTTGAACCTAGCGAGTAACACGTGCTTCACCACTCCTTTAGCCTCTTCCATTTCCAAAACTCTCTGGCGCTCTAAATCTCGCTACCTTTGTCGCTCCTATACGGATATTTTCAGCCCAACTCACCCCGAACATATTTTTATTCATACATATATAGATGTATGACTTGTCATACATCTTGTAATATAAGAAAAGACTTGACGTTTCAAGATAATTTATTTGAACGACTTATGGAACACAGTGCTTAGTGCATTAAAAATAAATAAATTTCTCAAGGATAATATTAGGTGTAAATGATTTGGTGTAGAAATGGTAGGTGGGACGTGGACATTATTTTAAGGTCCAAAAGTTATTCGAATCTCTCAAACGCATTAAAAAAAAAAAAAAAATAGCGTCACAATCCAATCTAAAAAGATGATGAAGAATAACAAAACCAAAATATGGGAACAGCCTTAATAATACACAATAATGCCAGTTAAAAAAAGAACCCGTTGATGTAATCCAACGACTCATAAACCTTGCAAATATATATTATATGATTTCTTCAACAACATCTTTTATGTCTTCTTTGTTCATCCTGAATACAAGATCCTTAGGTATAAGTAACCCTAATAGTTAAAAGGTTTATCATCTGGTCACAAAAAGAGAGGTAGTAATCTTTTTTGTAATGCATGTATTGGATTACTTAAGGAACTTAATTTGAGGAAATTCTTTATTAAATTATAATGATTGTTGGGGATAAAATGACCCTAGCCCAAATCAATAAAGTCTGACTAGAAAGCTCAAAATAAACGGGTCATGGAAATCCCAACAAGGGTCTAGAATTTATAAAATATTGAAAATGGGCCAGATTAAGGATTTGGGATGTCTGTGGCCCAAACCCGAGAAGTCTGTCCCAAGGGAAAGCGGTCCAAGCTGATAAATCATTTTCATTAACTTTCTCTAGACAGCTCGTAATTAATTAAACGAAACCCATTACGAGTTACCACGTCGTGTTTGTGAGAGAGAGTTAATAAGAAGCGTTTTTCAACGTAATATTACCCATCAATTAAGTGGAGTAAGTGACAGGACACATGGCACACAAGAAGACGATGATCGTCAACCACCTATGATATGTTTGCTTCCAATTATAAGATAACTTCCACTCCCTATTTCTTAGGAGATTAACTTCTCACTATCTCATCGTTCCAATTAAGAACATGACCACTAGCCACCATGCTTGGCACCACGATGCCACCAGAATTCATGGCCAAACAGCCCTATAAACACTCCACATGATCTCAAAGGATGAGATTATATAAACTCCCCCAAGGGGGCTAAGGGTAAAAGACTTAGTTCTAAAGAATCACGAATTACATAATTTTTTCTCTCTGTTTTACTACTCTTTTTATTTTATTTTATTTTATTGTGTATATGACTTAAGCATCGGAGGGGCTCAGCTAAGTGTAAAAGACTTAGTTCTAAAGAGTCACAAATTTCATCATTTTTTCTCTCCGTTTTGTTACCTTTTTTTATTTCATATTGTTAAGGTCAAAAAATGTCATCGGTCTCAATAGACCCAAAAACGAAAACACCTTTAACGGAGCTCAGAGCAATGACTCAATTCTGATTGGGCCCACCACAAAATCCATTTATTGGGTTCGCTCATTACACCTACCAAGTTATTCACTGATTAAACCCAATCAATGCGGCCCCAATTTACTTAGGCCTCATCGTCAATCCATTTGGGCCCAGGTCCATTGATCCAAGATCACCTATTGGACCTACGGTTTACTTAAACCTCAACGGTGAGAACTGGGGGTTTTAAGGTGTAATATTGAATGAATTGTGAGAGGGTAGGCCTCTGCTTATATAGCAGTTGTAGGATCTTCGAATCCTAGTAGGACTATGAGTCTTTGGTGGTTGAGGTTTAGTGAATAGGAAAGTTGTTAATTCCCTTACCTTAGTAGAAAAGGGAGTCCTATTCAGTCTAAGATACAGATCCTAGATGAATTATGATAATAATGGATCTCTTCGGAAGAATTCGGATAGTACCAAAATTGGAAGTAGTTCGCGATTCTGTTTCCTGAAGTGGTGGAACCAAAATCGAAACCGCACAGTGCCAATTTCACCAAATTTTGAATCAGAACTGACACCTCGATAGAGATGGCAATGGGTAGGCCCCCATGACCAGGCCCAGGCCCGGACCCATTAAGGGGATGGCAGGTAATGCCTAGGCTCGGTCCGACAGGCTTTTTATAACTCCTAGTCCCAACCCATGTTAATTTCTACAATTTATTTTCTCATTGGCAATCTTTGATATATATTTCTTTGTCATTCATATTAACTTAATTAATAGTATCTCTTGCTCTAATCCCATATTTTTTGCATGCATAGATTAATATGATGGGCAGTAGATCTTGAGTTTGACTAAAATCGCAATTAATTATTATTATAAATTCGTTTCAAAATCATAATCAAATAAAATAAAATTCTAATTATTTTTTTTTAATGATAACTTAAACACTGAATGACATTTTTATTTTATTTATTTGGAAAATAAATGGAATGCAATTTAACATCATCAAATAAAATTTCATTCTTGGACGAAGATAGGACTAAACTTTAATTTTGATAATTCATAATTGCAATTTATCATTGAAATTAATTAATTGAAGAATGACGAGTATCAATTTGTTGCTTCTAGGGAGAGGAAATTGCATGATGAAGCGCCGTTTTATGTCCGTACAAACCAGTCATGCAAATGCAAGAAGCTGTGTATCCATCAATGCATACGTAAACAGATTTCCATAAGATTTTATCGGCTAATTAACTAGAATAATTTTCTTACCAACTTGACTTCATTTGTGAATCTGTACTTTAAACCGTAATATTATTTGAAAGAGAAAAAAAAAAGAATATATATATATTAGTCCAAAGAAATTCATTTCCTTAAATATATTTAGTTTTTATTTCGATGAGATATTTTCCCTACTTGACATACTTAAACGGAAGTTTATATCTTACCCCCCTCGAAATTTAAATCTTAATCGGAAGTTTAGAATCCCTAAACACATGTTGGGGAAGTATTATTTTGGCAGGATTTATTTGAGATTAGTAATTAATTAAAAAACATATGATTCTATTTGGCCGAGCTTATGAAAATTAGCATCTGTCGCGAGCCTGTTCACTAGTTTTTTTTTTGGGTTTCTTTGTTGCGATTAGAGTGGTAATTGTTAGAGTTGATTGAACGGAGATTTGGAGTACTCTAAGGTTGAGGATTGTTTTTGAAGTGATTTTGTGTTGATTGATTGAACCCCCTAGCCGTTTTCCATACCGCCGACGACTCACCAACCTTTCCCCTGCACTTTGCCCACTAGGTGTCGAAGTATTGTGGCAACGAACACCCAACCTTACGTGCACAACATTGTGAGTCCAAAACATAGTTATGGTTAAAACAATGTCGTACAAAACTGATTCAAAAGAGAAGAGAAGAGATTACTTACTGTAGCCAAAATGCCAAATGCAGCAGCTGATTTATCTTCAATTAGGTGCTTAAGTGAGAGAAGAGAAAAAGATCTTGATTGTACCTGAGCTCCCAAATTCGATTTACTGGCCGGTTTTAGTGACAAGAAGTGATTTTGGAAGGAATTAGGGATTTAGAGTAACTTTTTTTTTTTTTTTCACGGGGACTCGTGGGTATACCCGGCCCACCCGCCAAAAAAAAAGGGTAGATCCAAGTAAAATAAAAAGGGGTCTATAATGGTAGACCCGTACCCTATATTATTTTGATGGGTATGAGTTCACCCACAGGTATGGACCCATTTTGCCAGGTGATATGTAGGACTAAAGAGCATCTCCAAATGACTCTTTATATGACCTAAACTTTTTATTATAAAGAGTCTATCCATAAAAACAAGAGTGCAACATACTCTTTATCTTTAAAATATAAATTAGATAGTGAGTTTGACTCTCCACATTTAAAGAGTCAAATTTCACTCTCTATCCTAATTTTAATTAATAAACAGCAAGTTCCTATGCATTTTATTTATTAATTCTCTCTCCCATTAAATCTCTTTCTTAATAAATCACTTTCTTAAAAATAAAGAGCATATTCATTAAATTTAAAGAGTCTATTGGATTTGAATAAAAATTATGTTCTTTATATTTAAAAATTAATAAAAATGCTCTTTATTTATATGAAATATGTTTTTCAAAATAAAGAGCACTATTGAAGATGCTCTAATTAAGGTAAGCCTTTGTATGGTTTTACAAACCATGCGGGACTTTCACAAAGCTGACAAAAAGGAGTCTATTTCTAACATATACAAATTTTTAAATACTCAAATATAATCTAAGGATACTACACACTCATAATTTCACCAAAATGTTTGAAAGAAAAAAGCGAGAAAATTGAATTTAATTAGGTATAGTCCTTGTGTAGAAAAGTTTATATTTAACAAAATTTTGGTTGGTTTTACAAATTACAAACCTTATGTTATAAATCCACTGAACTTTGAAGAATAAAACATCTTGATATTTGATTTGCATGTAACAAAGAAACATATAAATAATTAAATTAATATCATAAGGTATTGAAAACTTTCCTAATTACATTACTTTTTAGTTGTTCCTTATAAGTTTTCCAAAGGAAATTTGGTCTTGAAATGATTGAAGTTTTGCGATAGTGATTATATTTAAGTATTGAACTAATTTCTATTTTTGCATGATTTCTTTTATTTGATTATCGATATTTTCCCAAGATAATAATTTATTTCCTATTTGACGTTTATACTAAGATATTTTTTTGCCATATATTTGGCTTGGCATTACCTTTGATGGCATCATATAATAAAACACCAGGATGGTGGTCCAGTTATATAAGGGAATGTGGATAATATTATACTTGATATATGATGTATACACACAGTCTCTACTTAATCAATATCAAAAAATTCTTACAGCTTTTCTCCTTTTAATTATTCTTTTGAGTTTCTGATCCGAATATGCATCTTTGCTTTCTCTTTAGCTTTCACAACATATGATATATGATTCTCTGAGACCACGATAATTTTCCCAAGAATTTGACAGGCTATTCGCAAGTGTACGAAATCGTGCAAGTAATAAAGCT